CAAACTTTTTTTTATTCGTGCGCTCACATCAGTATTGGGGTTCCCAGAGGATGTCATCCATATAATCAAAATCAACATGGCCTTATCATACCAGTGATCTGACTGACTGACAGAGAGAGAAATGCCAGTGATGGTAGCATCCTGTTGTGAAGTGTTACTTGTGGTAAGAAATCTACTTACTGAAGTAGCAAGGACTTGCTTGTACTGTTGTAGTAAAAAGCTCTCCACACTTCACACGGTTTCTTGCCATGCAGCATGCAGGTTAGAGCTAAAGCTTTCAAGTTGACTTCAAGTCATGCTTTGTTGATTTGAGCAAGCAATTCATCCCGCTCAGACATCCATGGCAGATGCCTGAAGGGGGCAAACCAACTCGACATCCCTTTGACGAAAACAAAGCGGTACAAAACGAGCCCAATCCCCTATTTCACTGATTTGTTAAATAAACAAGCAGACCTAGGTTGAAATCTCCCAGTACCGGACCAATATTGTTTTTAATCACTTATATATCTAATTTATAACTGCGTACAGCTAGTATTTGTTTAAGTTGTTTGTACCTAGTTTGTCAATGTCCTTTGTTTGTTTAGCCCACCTTATTGTTTAATTTTTTTTAAACCTGTGTACGCAATTCAGCGGTTTAAACGCTGCCATGTACAAGGATTGTTGTCAATAAACTATTATTATTATTATTATCCTTTTGGCAAAGCAAAGAAATTGAGGTCTCGCAACACCTTAGAAAATGTGACAATTTTTCATTTGTGGCAATGCCATCTTTCACTTTTCCCGTAAGTCTTGTATCCAAGTTTAAATGTTAGTCTCACACAAGAGATAGAAGTTAAGTCACCACAATCCAAACTGAAGAATCGTACAGTATCCTACAAGGATGTAAGGTTTTCAACATGTTGCCTTTTAAATTTGTGCCAAATGTTGCATGCACAGCTCAAACAACCACCTCATGTCATGCAGAAAACTTCTTAGAATCTTCCTCCAACATGTAACTGTTAACACTTGTAGTAAAAAGCTCTCCACACCTCACACGGTTTCTTGTTATGCAGCATGCAGGTTAGACCCAAAAGCCTTAAACTTAAAAGTGTTGACTTCAAGTGATACTTTCTTGATTTAAGCAAGCAAGTCATCCTTTTGGTGAAGCGAAAAGTTAAGATCTCACAATGGAAAACGCAGCAATTTTACATGAATGGCAATGCCATCTTTCATTTTTTAATGGTTGTATCTTTTTCTACAAGTCTTCTTTCCAAGTTTAAATGTTGGTCTCACACAAGAAATAGTCACAACCACCTTAGACCACGCAGACAACTTCTTAGAACCCTCCTTCAAAAATGTAAGACGTCTCACCTGCCAGCGTTTCCTTGCCATGTACTTCTTGAGGTTGTCCTTGGACAGTTTGGTGTTGCTGGCAGCTTCCTGACGTAACCAGGGGTGGGAGAAGCACTGGGCAGCAGTCAGGCGGCTTCTGTGGTGGCACAGAAAAAACATCACAACTTTAACAACCTCCTTACACTTACCCTAACACTAATTCTAACCCTCCTGATGAAGCCAGGATTCCGACAGGCACTGGGCAGCAGTAACATGGCTTCTAGAGAGGTAGAAGGACACCATGACACCAATCTGTTGCTTCTTAGACATTTTTATGTAAAATCTTAGCCAAAAGATATCACCACCTGAAGCTGTACTGTGATGCAGACTTCCACTTAGACTGTGTTTTGATGTTGATTATCCAAAGTACAATTATTTGAAAACTCAAGAACCAAAAAATCAAATCAGTGTGGCCTTTCTGTACATTCTTACACAAGGTAACCCCCTACAGCAGAAGGATCCAAAACTCTTTAAGTTACAGTAACAGTTGTCTTTCTATACCTAAAGCCCCACTGACTCACCCCTGTTCCTTGAGGAGCAGCTGTTCAATGAAGTTCTTGGCGTCTCCTGAGATGGAGTCGAAAGATTCGTCCTCGAAGTCCCAGGCTAGTTCCGTCACGTTGTTCAACGTCTCAGCCTCATCTTCACCCATAAATGGGGACAGTCCACTCAGCCTGCGGGGGTGGGTGGGGAGAAGGATCTGGTTTTTATGTTGATGTATTTTGTATTCTTGTATTCTTTATTTTGCACATAGATGATAAAAACCAATAGAAGTAAAATAGACACAAGAAGAGTGTCCTTAGGGAAGACTGAGACCAATTTGGTCTATCCTAGGCCTTCCTCACAAGTAAACTAAAACAAGAAAGGAAGTTACTAAGAAAAACGATGAAGGTTAGGCTTAGACATCCGAAGCAACAGTTTGTTACTCAAGAAACAATAGATTTTGAAAACGAACAGACGTTTCAGCACCAAGGACAGGTTTGCCTTATCCAATCAGTACTATTAGCAAGTTCACATTTTAGCAGTGACCAATCTTCATTCTTTTTCACAAACTCAAAACATGAGACGTTTTCATGTCCTCCAGGTTTGTGATGTTAGTATGTGTGTGTATGTTTGCTTGCTTGTTTGTTTGGTTGGTTGGTTGTACGTACAGGACATAGCAGATGACTCCGACGCTCCACATGTCTGTCCCGTAGCCGATCTTGTCGTAGTTGATGACCTCAGGTGCAACAAACTCAGGTGTGCCGAACATCACCTGTGCAGGTAAAAACACAATCATTATATTCATGATGTATGTCATTTCACAAGTCATGGTGGCTGGTTTTGTATCAGTAAGACAGCCAGTTCTTATTTGCAAACTCATTCAGGATGACTAATTTCAAAATTCTGAACGAACAAGTTTTGATAAAGAAATACAGTGATAACAATATTGCATAACTAGATCAAAAAAGCTAACTGCTTTGTTTTGAGACAGAGGAAGACAAGGGATGCAAGGCACTTTTTTTTCTACAATGTGCAGGTTTCTGATGTTAAGAGAAGGGTAGTTTTCTTTCAATCTGTAAACTTACCAAGTAGAATTTGGTGACATTATTGAAGAGGTCCTTTCTTTTGCTGAAGTAAATGTGTTTCTTATATTGGCCTACAGGAATAATCAGCTGATGATAGAAGTTAACTGACTTTTGCCTAGCACGTTGGCAGAACGTACTGCGCCTGCACAGAACCCTGTATTTTCACGGTTTTCGATGGATTTTTGGTCAACGTTGCATCAGAATTTTGCCTGTTGCAGAGGATATCTTTTCCAACATAACATTTGGAAACTACAGACGAGATGTTAACCTTATATGCGCGAATACGACCTTATATGAGACATTCTGCCGAAGTGCCAAGTACAATACATTATGGGTTTCGCGCAGGTGCAGTACGTTCTGCTGACGTGTTCTTTTGCCTGACTTTAAATCAGGGACTTTCACAGTGTCTCACACCACAGTTTGCCCTCACCTTGAGCTCCTCCTGCGGGTTGTATCTCCGGGCCAGCCCGAAGTCGATCAGCTTGATCTCGTTTCCCGTCCGATTCACGCAGAGGACGTTCTCCGGCTTCAGGTCAAGGTGAAGGACGCCCTGCTCGTGCATGAACCTGGCGGAGAGAGGAAAAATCATGAAGCAGCTATTAAAGGCATCCAGTGCAGTTTTAGGGCTTGGAAACCCGATTTTGCAAAGTCAATATTCTAGTCACTTATCTACATGCTGATTTGAAACCACATTGTCCTAATGTATATTGACCCTCATGGAGCAAAAATACCCAAAATTCTGACGAAAAATGGTTACTGGAAGGGCACTGGGCTGATTTTTAGGGTACCACCCAGAAAATAAAGGACTCATCTTAAGGCTTGTTTCTACAGTTTTAAATACCCAAAGTATAAAATACTGACTGAAATGTGCTAATGTGAAGCAGTATGTGTCAATATCATAAAGATTGCCTTATTCAGAATATTTCCAGTTTTGCTGCTCTGAAATCGCATTGGATGCCTTTAAACACAACACTTTGTCAAAATTTTGACTGTACAGCTCCAGTCTTTGTCAAGGAATAACTTCTAAGATAAAAGCTTCCAAGATAAGAAAACAATTTGTTAAGCACAATATGATCAATTACTTCTTGAATCTCAGAAACTCGAAATTTCGAGTTAGTTAGACTGTACATGTTCTCCAACTCAAAAAAATTGGAATTTTCAAATTCACTCACTTCAGCTTACTGACCGAATTGCTCATCAGAACACTTAATACAGTTATAAGAGAGAGAGATAGAGAGAGAAAAGAAAAGAAGAGAAGCATGCCAAACTTAAGAAGCAGAATATTTAAGACTCCTTACCCGACACCCTCACAGATCTGTCTGGTGAAGATGACACAGTCCTTCTCCGTCAGGACAAAGTCGTCATCGATCACTCGCTCGAACAGCTCACCACCCGATACTCTGCAGGAGGGAAACAAAAAGTTATTTATTCACAAGCTTCCAAACATACAGGGCAAGAGTGTGACACAGATACTTTTTGTGTTTTTACTCACAGTTTGACAAAGGTTAGGCATCCAGGTAATGAGATACATGAGAATACAGGATGGACAGATGTTTTAGCACTAAGGACAGGTTAGTATTGTCCAATCAGCAGCAAGAACAGGTTTGCCTTAACCAATCAGCAGCAAGTACAGGTTTAACCTTAACCGATCAGCACCAAGGGCAGGTTTGACTTAACCAATCAGCACCAAGTACAGGTTTGTTTTAACCAATCAGCACCAAGGATAGGTTTGTCTTAACCAATCAGCACCAAGGGCAGGTTTGCCTTAACCAATCAGCACCAACTACAGGCTCACTTTAACCAATCAGCACCAAGTACAGGTGTGCCTTAACCAATCAGCACTACTCACAGTTCCAGCACCATGGTGAGCTGGTTTCTCTGCCTGAACACGTCTGCCAGCTGAATCAGCTTCGGGTGATGCAACAGTCGCATGATCTCCACCTCCTGCAGTACCTGGTCCATCTGACAGGGGTCGCTCACGCTCAGCTGCTTGGCGGCAAACTCCCTCCCTGAGGACTTCTGCACCGCCTTGTACACCTTGCCAAAGCGCCCCCTAGTATGAGGGAAAGGCATTGCAGCATTCTATAACTTTTCGGGGACAATGAGTTTATATTTACCTGCCAAGTACACCTAGCCAAAGCATCTCGTAGTATGAGCAAAAAGGCATTACAGTTCTATAACTACGGACCTGTGAGGATTTTTAACTACGAGTAAATGCAGAATTATGATTTTAAGCCACAGTTTTCCCTGCCATTGCAAATGTGAATAAGTTTCAAAATTGCACTTAACAGAGTCCTCTTCAACTCTAACTGACTTATAATAATGAATGGTTTATTTAGTTCAAAACCAATGCCACAAACTTTGCAGCCAAAACGGCTGAATTGCGTTACGACATTTACAATTCAAACAGAGTCATGATTAAAAACATATTTACATCAACAGGCATTACAATTCAAATATATACATGCTAAAACGTATTTACATAAACATACATTTGCAACTCTTGAAAAGCGTTACTTACTATAATGTAATGTTAATGAGAATGACAATGTGTAATTAAAAATATTGATGTGATGTAGATGTTTGAGCCACTTAGCTTCATTGATTGTATGATGAGGGCCTGCAAGGGTCCCGACAACGCTCTATGCTGAATTCGGAAACCTCTCAATTACGCTTTACGATAAGTTCCAAGTGGCTACAACGCATTACGTAGAATTAAAACGGCCTACGCTCTACGGAAAAGGGCTTGCGGGCCCCCTATGATGGAACCATTAGGCTCACCATGCATTTTATTCAAATAAGAGAGCATAAAAGTGAAAAGGAAGAAACTAAAAGTTACTGACTCTCCGAGTTTCTCCTTGACGTTGTACAGATCCTCAAGTTTCTTGTCCGTGTGAACTTTGACCCTGCTCTGGCTGGCGGACTGCTTGGCGGTCACATGACCATTCACCACCCCGTTTTCTAGAACCAGACACATGGAGGAGACATGTTAAGTTTGAACAAAATTTTTAAAAGCTTCATGGTTAAGTTTTCACCATTTTTACATGTTCCATCATCTAACAATTTAATTGGAAAAGTGAGCTTCATTTTCAAATCACTCATCTTAGCTATCAGACACCAGTCAGAGTTGATTTAAATTCATAAACCACATATCAAGGGTTACATGGCAATGGCTCAATGGGCAAAATATGAAAGAAACACTTGGCATGCAACATTGAGACTGAAGAAAACACAGTTTACAGCACAGAAAAAAGGCCTCCAATTCCTTGTTAAAGTAAATTGAATATAGACTGGAAAAATTTCATCCATGAGCCAAAAACAGTAAAAAATTTGAAGAAAATCTTCAATTCTCACCTTTCGGTTTGTCCCTGGTTGCCACCACATCCGACACCTTTCCAGGTTCGCTCCCAGCGTACTTATTCATGGTGCTGACCCGGAACTGGTACTTGTGACCCGGAAGTAGTCCCTCCACCGTGTGGGTCGTGTCCTTCAACTCTGACCCCACCACGGACCACGCTGCGGCGATGACATCATACTGTTCCAACGTGTAACCTATGACCTTACTCCCACCGTCAGACATGGGTTTTCTCCAGGACACGGTAAGGGTAGTGGACGTCACATCTTTCACTGTGGGCTTCCCCATGGGGGGCTCCGGACGGTCTAAATAACAAAGAACAACATTTGAACCTTCCTGGTTAAACCTTGAACATACTGAGGTAGCTGTCTGGCAAATCTCTATTTGGTAAAATTGTTTAGGCAGCAGGGAGAAGGTTAATTAAGTCATATTGCAAGTGACATAAAAGGCATTATGTCAAATATTTAATTTACAACTTGATACTGGGTACAAGAATTGTGACTTGACATTGAACGTGACTGGTTCGGAAGAAGCACCACCTACCAACAATGGAGACAACTGCGGTGGCCTCCTCCTTCCCCAGTCCGTTGTCCACTTTTACTGTGTAACGTCCTGCGTCCGGCCGGTCCACACTAGGGGGAACATGATAATGAATAATGTAACCCAACACCACAGGGCATCTACTACAGCACCAGTTACCATGGTGACAGCTTGTCCACCTTGACTATGTAGCGCCCAGCATCCCATCTATCAACGCTTGGGGGAAATAAAAATGTATGCATGTCCCAATCCAGTTTGACTTACAGGAAAACTACCTGTGTGTGACACACAATTTCAACTGTAATTTCCAACACAAGAATATTGGACTTGTCAACTGTGAAGTGGTGAATTGCTCATGTGCTGACAAAGACTGGAGTTGTACTGTCAAAATTTTGTGTCATAATGCCTTCTACCAATACAGATAAACTTTCAAGTTAGAGAATTAGTTAATTGCAAGTTCCCACCTATCGATGGTCAGAACGCTGAGTCGCTGGTTGGTTGTTAGCGTAACCCGATCCCCGTCCTTCAGCTGGTCCTGCCGTTTCCACCAGGTGACCTTGGGCTGCGGGTTTCCTGCGAAGGTGCAGGACAGAGTCGCAAAACTCTGCCGAACAACCACAATGTTCTCTGGGCCCTTCTCAATCTTAGCTGCAGATGGAAGAAAACAGCACAAACTGTTAGATTTGGTTGTCACATTTTTGAACATGTCTTAGTAGCCCTTTGCAATCAAAGATGACTGTCATCATTCACTGTACCAAAATCATGATAAATACCAGGATTTTACTCATATTTTTTCAAGGAAAATAGTCCAACAGAATGAAACAGGCACAGAAGGAGATTTGGTGTCAAACTTCGGCCACAGGTTCTTCTCCTTGTACGATTGGAGCTTCTTGAAACTTTTCTTTCTTTACCACATGGGTAAGCATTGAAAAATATGGTACAGAACAAGAGTTTCTCAGATGCTTACCCTTTTCTTCTGTTGCAGTTGAGTCTCCTTGCAGAGTTTCTTGAGACTTTTCCTTCTTCACCACGAGTCGACACGAGCACTCCGCCTCCCCTTCGTCGTTTTGCGCCCGGCATGTGTACTTCCCAGCATCCTCGGGGAAAGCCTCCACGATAAC